TCTACATTTTTTTGTTGTTTTGCTTTGTTTTGTTTTTTTTGAATGTCCAGAGGACCAGATTTAACTTTTTTAGATGCTTCCTGGAAGGTCACGCCATCTTAGAGCTATTCCAATCTGGCTTTAAACCTCTCCACAGCACTGAAACTGCCCTGCTGAAGGTCTTCAATGACATTTTCTTAACCACAGATACCAGTGATTCTGTGCTGCTTGTCCTATTGGACCTTGCAGCCGCCTTTGACACCATCGACCATGAGATTCTCATTGCTAGGTTGGAGCAGTGGGTCGGCATCACAGGGTCAGCCCTCAATTGGTTCAGATCTTATCTCACTGACAGATCCTTTTGTGTCTCCATCAAGGATTTTAGTTTTGCAGGGGCAGAGCTTAAATGTGGGGTTCCGCAGGTGTCCATCCTGGGTCCCCTCCTATTTTCTTTATACCTTCTGCCGCTTGGTGCTATTTTCCGGAAACACAACATGCCCTTCCACTTCTATGCCGATGACTGTCAAATTTACTTCCCCCTAAGACACAATGGTACATGCTCTATTCAACCTCTGCTCGACTGCCTGGCTGACATCAGGGTCTGGATGTCTTTAAATTTCTTAAGTTTCAATGAAAAGAAGTCTGAAGTCATGTTGTTCCCTCCCAATGACACAATCACAAACCACTGCATCAACCTTTCCACTCTAACCCCGTCAGAAAAACAAAGAGTCACTAATCTGGACGTGATAATGGACCCTTCCCTGAAACTTAACAATCCTGTAAACATGATTGTAAAATCATGTTTCTTCCAACTGAGGCGGCTGTCTAAACTGAAGCCCATATTGTCCAAAAAGAACCTGGAGACAGTAATGCATTACATCTAGGCTTGATTACTGCAATTCACTCCTGTTTGGTATCAGTCAGACCTCCATTGCACGACTACAACTGGTCCAGAATGCAACAGCCTGATTTTTAACCAGTACAGGCAAAAGAGAGCACATTACACCAGTTTTGGCCTCACTGCACTGGTTACCGGTTCACTTTCGAATCCAGTTCAAAATACTCATGTATGTCTACAAATCACTGAACAATGTCGCCCCCCCCCCCCCCCCCCCCCATCTCTCTGATCTGCTACAACCGTATGTCCCACCACGTTCCCTGAGGTCAGCGGACCAGTTGCTCCTCACAGTTCCAGGAACTCGTCTTAAGCGCAGAGGTGACAGGACCTTCTCTGTAGCAGGACCAAGACTTTGGAACGAGTTACCTCTGCTTGTCAGACTGGCCCCTCCCTCTCAGTTTTCAAGTCCCGTTTAAAAACTCACTACTATTCAGTAGCTTTCAACACCAGATGATCTGTGTTTTGATCCTGTATGCTCCACACTGGTTTGTCGTCATTATCTGCATCGTTTTAATGTCTATATTCTGATTTACTTCATTTTGCATTTTGCTTTGTGTGTTACCTGTTGTTCTGTCTGTACAGCACTTTGGTTGGCCTTGTCACTGTTTTAAGTGCTTTATAAATAAAATGGTATGGTACGTTTTCCATCCTGCTCCCGAGAGGATGCAGGAACTGCTGTAGTCACGTCAGGACTACAAATCCCAAGAGCCACAGTGCTCTGATGACATGAGCGACATGCACCAGAATGCTCAGCTGACCAAATTAGAGGATAACACAGGAGTTGATTTTCACTCCTGTCCTGTCCTGGTCCCACAGAAAAAATCCTGTCCTGTCCCACTCCTGGTAACATGACTCCTGCTCCTGTTTTTCATTTAATTTTTAGGAAATACATTGAATTTGATTTGATCTTCTACCCATTCCTGTTTAAATTACCTTGTGTTGTGCAGGTTTATTTCGAAAGATATGGCAACAGGAACAGTTCATCTGTGGTGAAATAGAGACATTTATTGTCTTAATCCAAACAAAAACCTTCACTAAATGTTATAAAACAAGTAGTCCATGGCCTTTAGTCTATATAATTTTTTTCTACGGAGGATCAGCTGCTGAGTCTGTTTCTGGCTCTTTTGAAGGTCAGTTCCAGTAAAAACAAAAAATCTAAACCAGTCCATGGGTCACACCATGTCTACCTTAGATGAAAGAACCCAAACAGAACAAGTTGCATTTTACTAGTTTATTGAACAATTGTTTCCTTTAAACAGTGACATCACTGTCATGTTTTAAATTGTTTAAACAGACAAACAAATAAATAAAAATAATGTATCAAGCAAGAGAACAAATAAAAATGTTTAAAGGCGTTATTATACACTGGACGACGTCCTCCAGAAGTTCAGTGTATGTGGTCGAGGTAACGAGCTCGTTAGGGTGAAGCATGATGTCGTGCATCTTCCCAGACTTCAGAGCTTCATTTACAGACTGGACCATTGCAGGTCTGGTGTTCCACCTCATCTCTCCACAGCTGGACCAGTCCAGAGCCTTGTGGAACCTAAAAGTGACAGAAGACGTGCACGAGTCAAAATAGGGTTACAGTGACTACAAGTTACAATCTGTTGGTCTTTCTTCAGGAAAAAATGTTTTATCAAAAACAAGATATTTACAATTGAAATTAAGTCAAGAAAATGTGACATTTGCAATTATAAATTACAGAAGCTCAATTTTTCTTTATTTATTTCACTTATCATATTTTATAATTATTTAATGAGCCTCACAGGCAGAGATTACAAGATGTTATGTCTCTTACCTGCTCTGTTGAAGTGTGTGACAAGGGTCTTTGTGTCCAAAGCTGTTTAACAGTTTGCTTCCAGAGCTAACAGCTTCCTGTGTTAGGTAGAAAAATATAATTAAATTAAAGACAAACAAAAAGCTTAGTGCTACTTCTTGTGCCATGCTTTATAAAACAGTTATTGAATCAAGTATTATGTTGGTAAACATAGATGTTTTAAAACCTGTTAAAATACACCAGAATGCAGGAAATAGCAGCTTCTTTATTTAAAAAGTTATGGGGGAGGACCCACAGACCTCACACCAATATGTCCCCCTACAGTAATTCTAATGCTAATACACTGTGTGGTTCAAGCCAGGAGCCATTGTCAACACTGGGGGGCTAAGGCCCCTAAAAAGGGCTTCTAGAATCGCCCCTGGTGTGAAGAAATGAACTGAGAAAAATAAACTCTAAAATTTAACACAACAACATAATTGTACACATCATATCTTAAATCTAAAACAATTATTATAATGTATATGTAACCAGTCTTTCATATAAAAACTGGGATATTCTTACCGGAGAATGCTTTCACTAATGAGTTTGTTGTTGTACTGGCATGGTTACAGCCAACAGTAACTATTTACTTAAACACTTTAACCAGGAAGAGGTTTTTTTTTTACATCACAAACAGCAACAGATTGTCATGAACCAGAGGCCGGATCGCAAACAACAACAACAACCACTGAGAGGGTTAAAAGATTTATTGTGAAATAACGTAAAAACTCTGGAGTAGGTCCGGTTCTGGGCTGGTTCCGATCTTCTGATTGGTAGTTCGTGATTGGGTAGTGTTGTAGTGGCGGGCTGCCAGTAGAAGTAGAACAGATGTTAAGGTCCACTGGAACGGAGTCCAACAGGCTTGCAACTAAAAGATAAAGGTTAGTAGATGCAGGGGGAAAGAGACTAATTGGGGAAATGAATCTGTGGGAATCAGATTCAGGGGTAAGGATAAGTCCGTGATACAGAATGAGCTTGACCTTTAATCCGTGATCCAAAAAACAGTCAGAAGGGAAAGGCAGAGTTCATACCGTGAAGTCAGTTGTTCAGCAGAAGTATCCAGTACGTGATCCAAAGAGAGAGTCAAAAAACAAGAGCATGAGTCGGTACCTGATCAGATGAGCAAAAGCAGACGAGGGCTGAGGCAAAAGCGTGGTCGTGGTCAAGGCAAGGGTCATGAACGTGATGAGTCAATCAATGGAATGCTGGAAAGTCTACTGCTGATGAGACAGGATAGAGAATCTGGCCCAGACTGAGAGGAATGAGTGAGCTTAAGTACTGACTGGACCAGGTGGTGGAGCTGTGGGATAATGAGCGGTGACAGGTGACATGAGTTGAGTGATTACTGAGTGTGCAGCATGACAGAGGAGCTGACAGAGAGCAGAGCTATGACACAGATGATGAAGATTTTCACCTAAAAACCCACATAACAAATCAGAGCATACTTTTTAAATTAAAAGGGACAAGGTGGAGAAAAATGTGCTGTTTGAGTTTATTTACTGACGGTAAACAAAGTCCGACTCCCTGCAGCTCCTCACAGCTGAGACTAAAGTTTAAAGCAGCACAGCACCAACACAACTCTCATGAAGTTCAGGTTATTTGACACTTTCCTGCCTGTTCTGTGAGTTTAATAGACAGACAGTTACTTCTTACCTTGCATTGCAAACTATTTCAGCCATTCGGTTTCTTTGGAGACTTCTCTGTTCCTCCCACCCTCTCGGTGAAAAGCTACGGCTGGAACAGTTGACTTCTGGGCAATGTAGTTCTTTTGACTTGTGCTAAAGTGAAGGCTTACTGAAAGAACACTACAAAATAGCTGCGCCATTTAAATTTTTTTGTTTGTTTCATTTTCATTTTTGGTTAATGTTCGGTTCCTGTTCCTGCCTGCTTCCGTTAGCTTTCAGTCCGGTCACGTCCCGGTCACGTGAGTTATAATGAGGTTGACTCCTGTCCCGCCAGAATCTGTCCGGAATCACGTGACCCGCGGTACTCATGAAAAAATGTCATCCTCTAGACCAAATGACCGGTACGGAGGACCCAGTCCGATTAAAAATATACTTCCTCCGGGAGCGTCTGTGGACATAGGGAGGACGTTGAAAAAGACCCAGCCTTTTTATGATGGAAACGTCCAGAAGGTCCACATGGACATTGCTGTTATTAAGGCTCAACAGCTCCCCAGCAGAGTAGCTTAGCATCATGCTGGTTGAGGAGGGAGACACAGCGTCACACAGTAGCAGGTATACAAAATAGAAGAGTCTCCCTAACAAAAAAAAACATAATTCGAAGCTGCAAGCTGTCCACAACAGTTAATAAAGTCGGGGGGGGAAAAAACTAAACTTTAAGATGTTATCATCCAGACGGAGACGCGGCGAACAAACAACGCCAGCGCCCTCTCCATAGGTGAGTGCTTCAGCATATTAACGTGACACAAACATGACCTATGTCTTCAGTCAGGTGTAGAGACCAAATAATCTCTGTCACAACCTTCTTTTTAATTCATGAATTATGATATCTTCATCCAGGATTTTTTTCTAAAGTGTTTTAATTTTTCTCAGGACTT